AAAAAATCATTCTATATTATACAATCAATCATGTATTTTTTACTCTAACATTTTGTTATTCATTGAAATGTATTATTATGAAAGTGTCCAAACAAATTGTGTAATTTGATGTGTTTTCATATATTTTATAATAGAAAATCCTCAAAATTTACGAAATCTTATGGAATTAAGTTGTATTTATTAAACACTACAAAATAATTTAAAAAAAATAAGAATATTTGAAGAAATAATTAAATATTATCATAATGCAATTAAATTTAAACAAAATAAAGCTAATTGCAAAGAAAACAAAGAAATATATAACAAGAAAAAATGACCTACATTCAGAAATCAACAGAACAAATATTGTAAAGTTCAAGACTTCTTGAAAAGTAAGAAATAAATACCAAATAAATAAATATATGACTATGACACATTTCAATATAAATAAAATAGGATTGTGGTATGCTTTTTGTCTGTAATTATTTATGTAATTGTACTATTGTTGCAATAAAAATTGTTGGTATTATTATAAAATGAAAAACAATAGGTTAAAAAAGATAAATTAGAGAAAATTAAACAATAGTTATAATATTATTGCAATAGTTATACAAAATATAAAAGTATAATACAAAAATGTCTACAGTTAATTCTGACTACAAAATATTGTAAGTTTTAAAGTATTTATGGAATAAAGCATTGCCCTTCTCTGTGCTGGCCTCGATACAAAGAAAACAAACAAACAAGTAAACAAAAATCTGGTGAAAATAGTTTAGGAACCGTGCTCAATGAATGCAGATCATGGCTCAACCATTCGTTATTTAATCTTACGTATGTCACTAATTTGAAACCGCTAAAATTTCGGTGGTATAGTAGTTTTTTGTGTATGCTATGATGATTTGATTTGGAGGAGGGAAAGCGTCAGGATTTGCGCGGATTGTTATAAGTCCATCGCCGCGCACCTGTCGAGTAGTTTGGATTAAACCACTGTCGCGGTACCAAGCCGCAGGTAGTCCTGGTTCCGCGATCGCCGACTCCAGTCTCGTCCGAATTAAAAGCTTCAAAAAATTAAAATTTTCTAAAGTATACGGAGAAACAGCAAGAAAATGTTTGTGAGTGTAGTCCTGATGGTCGTCCTGACCATCTACATGGTAGGATCGGCACCGGTCAACGATAACCAAGCGATGGTAAGTGTAAACAAAAATTAATAAGCATCAACTTGTTGAACCAATTGTAAAAATGAATCATATTTGTAACAAGTTATACACGAAACGCATTTCAACGAGCCTCGTCACACTTAATCAGCGTTTTGTCTCCTTATCAATGCAAATATGATGCGCGATGTAAAGGCGCACACTTTCGTAATGTGGATAATGAGATAGTAATCAACGTGTGACGTTTACGAGTTTTCTTTACTGAAAAGAAAAATCTGCGGATCGATTTTTCTCCATCGCACTTATGCAAATCCCGCATCGATTCGTTACGCTCGGATTTCGCAAAAACCGCAAAACTAGATGGAAAAAGAGGAATAAAAAGAAAATAACGACACGGCACGTTTTCAGTCACACTTTCGAAAATTACATAAAGCTCCCGAAAATACAAATCAAATAAAACAAAACGCATCTCTGTGTGTGTCAAGTGTAGAAAATGAAACGGATTTCTAAAATTTGGTAATACATTTTTTATTAAATCAAATTGCATTTATATTGTTTCTAATTTTTTTTTTATTACTTATCTGTAGCGATTTCAAGTATTATCTCGGTTACTATTGGGAAACATTTGCATGAATAATTTGAAAACGTTGCCTTTGAAAAAAAATATACAGAAATCCCGTCAAAGAAAATATTGTTAATGAGTAATCAATAGATAAAACGCGTGAATCATGCATATGTTGATTATAAGTTTATAACTTTGTAAAAGTTACAATTTGGGTTCAAAGATGACGCAATTAATTGTTTTTCTCAAAAAGGATTCACTTATTTTTTATTACTGTAAAGGTGCGTACACAACTTTCAATTAAAGTAACATATGCATAATACGTCAATTCTTTAATACGTCAATTCTTTAATTTAAATAAATCATTTTCTTTGTAGAATAAAGATGCGTACGCACTACTAGATAAAAGAAACATTCATATAAAGTATACTTAAATATGACACTTTAACGGCGATTTTAATTTAACAATTGTTTAATAATAAAGTTATGTCATTCCATTATTATGCAGTTTAGTGCCACATATGATTCAATCGAAAAACGTGATCTGGTTAAAGACTGTTATTATCATTTTACATAATCGTTGAATCGTCATGTAAACTTATTTGAGAGGAAATGCTTAGATTATTCCCATCATGAAAAATATTAAATATTAAATTCTCACTACAAAATATGACTAATCGCACTTGATAATCCTTTATATTATACAGATATATATATTTTCTTTGACGCACGAGTCGTTCTCGGCATTGCAGAATTATTTCATAACTTTAAACACGTGAATGATATAAAAAAAAATGTGTGAGCAATATATTTTTCTTTTTAATGTCTTTACTGTAAGAAATGCAACTAAGCAAATCAAGTTTCCATATAACACAAAATAAGACAATTTTGTAAGAACAAAGATTTTCTTTGCAATTTTCGTTACTATTACTCACGTCAGAATCAAATGAACTTCACAAAGAGTTAAACTCTAAGAAGTGACGCAAATGATTCATCGAATTATTATTAGTCACGAGAATTATAACAACTGTGATCTAGCCTCGTCGCTTTCTCCGAATAATAACAGATATTCAGAGAATCCAGATGATCAAAAATCTAAAACCAATAACTTATTAATCCGTCTACGTCTATCGATTCCTTAAACGTTATTGATCAATTTGTAACTGTAACAATCTTGGACTTTCCCAAATTCGACGTGCTAAAAGATCTAGGCCTCAAGGACTAACAGCTTTTTTTTTTTTAATTTTCTCGTGCTACCATTCTTTCTTAATTAACCGCACTTAAAAGATTATTACTTTTATTGTTCTTATATTTGTTTGTTTTTATACAGTATACAGAATTAAAGCTGATTTTAATTGATCTGATGCACACACATAAACAAGTCAGATGCCTCTTTTTTAAGTGGATCAGCACAAAATGTATTGTTAATCCGGGATAATACTAATAATTATAGATTAATTAACGTTTACTTTTCATTTATCTCAGTTTTTAACTTGTGTTGTTTAAATCAAGAAGAAAACCATACATTTTAATAAGCTGTTTTTTTTTCGAATATAAAGATGCATCCGCATTGTTCGATAACAATTCCATAAAACTGTTTGAAACCGGACTAATCGAAGAATTAAATTTATATAAAATGAACAATTGAAATTTTTAAACCCGAACAACAATTGGATAACAATTAAACTTATAAAGCTACTAGTATATAGAACAACATTACCTCAATAGTGCGGTTCCGACAAAAACCCGGACTAATCGAAGAATTATATACATACGTAATTAACATTTGCTTTTCATTTATCTCAGTTTTTAACTTGCGTTGTTTAAATAAAGAAGAAAACCATACATTTTAATAAGCTGTTTTTTTTTCGAATATGTTATGAGCATACCAACTATTACCATCAAGTATCGATAACAATTCAATTAATCCAGTTTCATACAGTCCTGGATATGACTATTTGAAATCGGACTAATCGAAGAATTAAATTTATATAAAATGAACAATTGAAATTTTTAAACCCGAACAACAATTGTACAACAATTAAACTTATAAAGCTACTAGTATATAGAACAGCATTACCTCAATAGTGCGGTTCCGACAAAAACCCGGACTAATCGAAGAATTATATACATACGTAATTAACATTTGCTTTTCATTTATCTCAGTTTTTAACTTGCGTTGTTTAAATAAAGAAGAAAACCATACATTTTAATAAGCTGTTTTTTTTTTCGAATAAGTTATGAGCATACCAACTATTACCATCAAGTTCGATAACAATTCCATTAATCCTGTTTCAAACAGTCCTAGATATGACTGTTTGAAACCGGACTAATCGAAGAATTAAATTTATATAAAATGTTCAATTGAAATTTTTAAACCCGAACAACAATTGGATAACAATTAAACTTATAAAGCTACTAGTATATAGAACAACATTACCTCAATAGTGCGGTTCCGACAAAAACCCGGACTAATCGAAGAATTAAATACATACAAAAATGAACAGTACAATTGAAATTATCAAATCGAATTATAGTGAGACTGAACAATAATTTCATACAAATAAACTTATAATGCTACTTGTACATCATTAAATCGCATAGTGCGGTTCCGCCAATATCCCGGACTAATCGAGGAACTAAATATTAAATATATACAAAAATTAACAGCACAATTAACTTTTCCAAACCGGACTATAATGAATCAGGACTGTTCGAAGCAACTCTATGCGAGGTGTTGCTTTAATTGATAATTAATTTATTACTCATTTCACATTAGTACAAATCTTAAATTTTAAATGAATTATTGGTAAATATTCATTTCACGTAGAAGATTGAAACGGGTTCAAGTAAGTAAGAAAACCGTAGATTTGAATAAATTCTTTTTTATCACTATAACCTGTGCATCCGCACTAGACGAGTTATGAGACTCAAACCGAGAGTACCAATAGTTTGATAATAATACTAATCAATCGATTAAATAAATGCTCAATTGAAATTTTCAAACCTTTGAATCCGGACTGATTGAAGCAGTACTATGCGAGGTATTGATTGAATTGTTACTCATTTCACGCATAGTGTGGGTGCAGTATTAGACTCATCAATTATTTGAAATGAATTATTAGTAAACGTTAATAATACGTGCAAAATTGAGTCATTCATTAATGACTAGTTTCTTCGGGAATTCAACAGGTTGTCAACAAAAAAAAATGCGTCTTCTGTGTATACAGTTCACTAGTATTTTCCAAAGTATTTATTGTGTGTTGCGCACATTTCGATTAAATGCCGGACACGTGCCGTTATAATACCTTAACGTATCGGATGCCCTTCGGTTTTCTGTTTTATTATGAATTCGATTAGGAAGAATTATTGTATGTACATCGGCATGACAGATTGTGAATTTTAATCCGGCCGAAGAATTTCACGTGCGCCGTGCGGCCGAGCCGAGCCGTGCACCTTCGTGTGTTTTTCCACTCCGTTTTCGCCCATTTCGCATCGGAATTTATTTGTGTTTTCCCATCGCACATATCTTTACTGATTTATTGTTGTTTTTGTTTGTTATTTGTTTGTTTTCTTCGCTTCGCTTTCATTATTTGTCGTCGATGTTCTTCGATCAAAGATCGCCCCTTACGCAACGTCGAACTGGTATTGTTACGTGCGGATGTACATCGGTTCACCTTCGATGCACTGACTCATCCATTAACAATACGGTCATTAATCCCTTCGTTTCTTCTTCCAAAAAAAAAAACAACGAAACGAACGCGAAAAAAAAAACAACACCGCAGATTAATGACGAAGACCGCAACGTCTGATAATTCATGAGTAATACAGCTAAAGTAATACTAATTAAACAGGATTTTAAGAAAACACAACTTAATCAGAAATTTCATATCCATATCCTTTATAGTTTTAATAACATATTAATTACATTAATTAAATTAATTGTTAATGATAATTTGATTTAAAATATTCATTTATTTAACTGATGCTCGATGCTATCATTTCGTTTATTACAAATTCTCTGATCTGAAATTATTTTAGATTAACTATCTCTAATATAATATGTAATCTCCAGATAATTACATTTATAATCCATAATAAAGGGTACTTTATTACTTGCAATACTTATCAAATGATTACATTAATAAAATTGTCACAATAATATTTGAGTCAATTCAAGTTTTTTCTTCAATGAATATTCTAGAAAATTTATTGAAAAATGTTCTGTTTTGAAGAATTTATACAGAATTTTGTTTTTGTTCTAATAATTTTTTTTTCCCATAATTATAATTTTATTTTTCAAAATATTTCAAGTATCAATTTTTTTCACTAATCACGTAGAATTTAGTTACATAATAATAATTATTACCGAACAATACCTTAATTAATCATATTGTTAAATTTGAAGAAAAAAAACACACAACATTTGTATCCTCCAAAGCGGAAAGTATTTAAATAAAAGGAATCAAAA